GTGGCACTGCAAATGTGCAGGCAATACAAGAAAATTTGAAAGCACTGAAAAATCTCTTTTGAAGCCAGAAGTCTAGGAAAGTCTTTTCATCTCTCAGCACCAACCTTGAACTTCTCAGAGATATATTCAACACCATGCACGAATTCACTTGTCAAATACTGTATATATAATGCAGCAACACCAAAGTGGATAAAGTGAATGAGATATGGTAAAAAATATTCCATGGGAGAAGAGGGGACATGGAACCTTGGCAGTTGCCACCATGCAAAGACTGCTGCAGCATAGATTTTGATCAAACTATCAAGTTCTGAGGAAAGACTACAAATGGATCTGAATAAGCTGCATGACTGGTCTGACAAATGGCTATTGGAATTTAATCCCAGCAAATGCAAAGTATGAAAATCAGAGAAAGGCAAAGATGTCTGGCAACAGCATACAGGATCAGAGACAAAGGATGCAAACTTCCCTGAAAAAGAACCACCTCAGGATGAGCAGAGTTCTAATCATTTTGCCTGAGGTACACATCCATTGAATAATCACTGCAGCAAATGTGAGACTGGTGAATCTGAGAGTAGCTTTCAGGAACATCAACAACGAGGCATTCACAACTCAATACACAGCATATGTCGGGCCCATTCTGGAGTATGTAGCATCAGTAAGGAACCCACATCTGGTAAAGCATGTAAAGAAGCTGAAAAAAGTGAAAAGGTTTGCAAAGAATCAAGTCCCAGAGCTGGGGGGCATGAACTATGAGAAAAGGCTATAAGAGCTAAACCTGAAGACACTAGAAGACAGAAGGTCCAGAGGGAACATGATTATGACAAAATATTGAGAAGAATTGACAGGAAGGCCAGGGAAAGTCTAAGAGGCAGGTCTCAGGTACACAAGGGCACAGCTGGAAGTTAAAAGCACAGACAAGTCACAAGGATGCTAGGAAATATTTTTTATCCTTAGAGTATTCAGGAAGGGAAACAACCTAAGCAGCAAAGTCATAGAGGCAGAATCCATACATAGCATTAAGAATAGGTATGATAGGGCCCTTGCAACCATGAGAATGAACTCAGTAGCAAAAAGCAGAGGGGTAGGGTCATGAGCTAAGGCTACATCTCTGCAGCCACAATTAGGCGAGTACAATGGATGTATGTACACGATTCATCAAATAGCAATGTTGACTAGTTTTTTTTTTTTTTTCAACAAACAGGCCGACCAAGGCAGGGTGACCTAAAAGGAAAAACGAAAGTTTCTCTTTTTAAATTTAATAATATATACAGGAGAAGGAGTAACTAGCCCCTAGCTACTGGCATTTTAGTCACCTCTTATGACACACATGGCTTACAGAGGAAGAATTCTGCTCCATTTCCCCATGGAAAGACTAGAATTATATTTTACAAAGTTATGTTCATACTCCTGAGAATTAAAATTTTTCCCCTAAAATATATCAAAAGCTATGTACAGTAACACACCCCTGTATATGACTAGGACAGAGCAGCTCCAAATTAGAAGCAAATATCTGATATATACCAAATCTGGCTGGGAAAATGGCATTCACTGGTAATGTATCTGAGAATCTAGAAAGGCTATTACCTAATTGCAGGCAATTCAGGTATAAAGTTTACTGAAAAATCATAGTTTTTTTTTAAGTCCCTCAATTTGGTAGTCAAATTTTGTCTGGCTCATGGACATTAGTCCATGATAACATATAATGTAAAGGCAGCATATAACACAGCATGCCAGTAATGTAATTTACTTGTGGTGATACAAACAATGTTTTCTTTCATGCTGCCTCCCAACCTTACAGCCTCTCACTGATTTTTTTCTGCTATGGCTTCAGTAGCAGCTATTACCATTTTCTGAATAAATGATGATGAAAATAGAATTAATTTATAACAACATTTGGTGGCATCAATTTCCCTGTGAGAAAGGCAGTGTATTTCCACACTTATCTTCAAACCTTCATTGCATTCTCCTTCAGTGTTCAAGATTTATTTTGTGAATCTTTCACTATTGCAGGGTTTTCAAGAGAATAAACCTCAAGAATACAAAGGTTTTGCTGTACTGTACTATACAGTGGTCCCCCACATTTCGTAGTTCCTGGCAATCGTAAATTTCGCCAATCATAGGGGTATTTTCGTATAAACATGGACTCGCTTTTCATAGGTTGACTCGCGAGTCGTAGTTCGTCCAGAATGCGTACCCACGGCGTGAGCCGGGGCGGCAGCCAGTCTGGCATTGTTTACCAGTGAGCGAAGGTCCCCTCACATGCTCCAGCGAAATATTTCATAATATTCCATTTATTTTAGTGCTTGCAAGTACTAAATAAGCTACCATGGCTCCAAAGAAAGCTCCTAGTGCCAAGCCTGTGGTAAAGAAGGTGAGAAATACGACTGAATTTAAGAAAACCATCACTGAACAATATAAAAGTGGTACAAGTGTAGCCGAACTGTCCAGGATGTATAAGAAAACCTACACAACCTTATGTTCCATAGTGGCCAAGAAAAAGGAAATAAAGAACGCTGTTGTTGCAAAGGGAGTAACTATGCTGACAAAAATGAGATCACCAGTACTGGAAGAGGTTGAGAAGTTATTATTGGTGTGGATAAATGAGAAACAATTAGCAGGAGATACTCTTATGACTTCGATTATTTGTGAAAAGGCTAGGCAGTTGCATGAAGATTTGGTAAAGAAATTGCCTGCAAATAGTGGTGATGTGAGTGAATTTAAGGCCAGCAAAGTCTGGTTTGAGAGATTTAAGAACCGTACTGGCATGCACAGTGTGGTAAGGCATGGTGAGGCTGCCAGTTCGGACCACAAGGCGGCTGAAAAATATGTGCATGAATTCCAGGAGACATAGAGGCTGAAGGACTGAAACCTGAACAAGTGTTCATTGTGACGAAACAGGCCTCTTTTGGAAGAAAATGCCAAAGAGGCCCTTCATTACACAAGAGGAAAAAGGCAATGCCAGGACACAAGCCTATGAAAGACAGGCTGACGCTAATGTTCTGTGCTAATGCTAGTGGGGATTTCAAAGTGAAGCCATTACTAGTGTACCATTCTGAAAATCCCAGAGTGTTCAGGAAAAACAATGTTATGAAGAGTAAATTGTGTTTTGTTTTGGAAATCTAATAGTAAGGCATGGGTCACGAGGAAATTTTCGTCGAGTGGTTCAATGAAGTGTTTGGGCCCTAGTGTGAAGGAGTATCTCCTGGAAAAGAAATTGGATCTCAAGTGCATGCTAGTAATGGACAATGCACCTGCTCATCCTCCAAACTGGATGACCTAATTTTCGAGGAGTTTGGGTTCATCACAGTAAAGTTCTTGCCCCCGAATACCACTCCTCTCCTCCAACCCATGAACCAGCAGGTTATTGCAAACTTTAAAAAACTCTACACAAAAGCAATGTTTCACAGGTGCTTGACTGTGACCACAGACACTCACTTGACCCTAAGGGAATTTTGGAGAGAACACTTCAGCATCCTCCATTGCATAACCCTTATAGGTATGGCTTGGGAGGGAGTGACTACCAGGACTTTGAACTCTGCCTGGAGAAAATTGTGGCCAGATTGTGTCGACAAGAGGGATTTGGAAGGATTTGGGACTGACCCTAATGAGCCTATGTCTGTTGTAAAATCAATTGTGGCACTGGGGAGTTCCATGGGGTTGGATGTGAGTTTGGAGGATGTGGAAGAATTGGTGGAAGACCACAATGAAGAGCTCACCACTGAGGAGCTGCAAGAGCTTCAGCAGGAAGAGCAACACATTGCAGCTCAGAATCTTGGGTGCAGAGAGGAGGAAGAGAGATGGAAGAAGGTGCCTTCTTCAGAAATTAAAGAGATTTTTACTATGTGGGGTAAGATGGAAAGCTTTATGGAGAAACATCACCCTAACAAGGTTGTTGCAAGCCAGGTTGGCAACATGTACAGTGACAAAGTCTTGGGCCATTTTAGGGAAGTGTTACAGAGACGCCAGAAACAGAGCTCTCTCCACAGTTATTTTGCAAGACAGGACTCCAGTGACTCTCAAGGTGGTCCTAGTGGCATTAAGAAACAGAGAAGAGAAGCAACCCCAGAAAAGCAAATGGTACCTGAGGTGTTGATGGAAGGGGATTCCCCTTCGAAACTATAAACAATCCACTCTCTCTCCTCCTCCAGTCTCCCATACACTAAGAAAAATCTCCAATAAAGGTAAGTGTTATGCTGTTAATGTTTCATTCATCATTTCCCATTGTATTGTTTATGTACTACATGTATATTTCATGTAAAAAATTTTTTTGTTTTAATACTTCTGGGTGTCAGGAACGGATTAATTGTATTTACATTATTTCTTATGGGGAAAATTGATTCGTAAATCGTAAATTTCGTTTACAGTAACGGCTCCAGGAACGGATTAATTACGAAAAATGAGGGACCACTGTACAGTGGACCCCCGGTTAACGATATTTTTTCACTCCAGAAGTATGTTCAGGTGCCAGTACTGACCGAATTTGTTCCCATAAGGAATATTGTGAAGTAGATTAGTCCATTTCAGACCCCCAAACATACACGTACAAACGCACTTACATAAATACACTTACATAATTGGTCGCATTCGGAGGTGATCGTTATGCGGGGGTCCACTATATTTAACTACTGTAAAGTAAAATTTCCATCAAAATCAAATGTTTTGTGTGTGTGCATGGTCAATGTACATTTGTGAAATAACAACACTAAGATGTATAACCAAAGATGAGAGATGATATGAGCAGCCTGAGGAAAGTCAGTAACTGGCTCTGGTGAAACCCAGATTAAAAAAATGACATAGAATTTTTTTTTTAATTTGGCATAGTTTTTATACTACTTACTTTGAAAAAATGTCTTCTCCGATAGATTTTTAGGTTGTGTTTTAGTTACCACTCTATACAATGTCTTGGGTCACCTCTATACAGTATTTCTGTACACAGTACTGCAACACATATAAAATTAGTAAATAAAATAAGAGTACAGTAATAAGAAGAGGTACTTTACCTCTGTCTCTTGGCGCTAATGTGGTCACGTGTGGTTGCATCTGCATAGTCAGTAAGCTTCAACTGCCGAGAAAGGATGACAATAGTATTGCCCAAGTAGAGGTCTCTTTCTTCAACATCATCAACCGGTAGCCGTTTTAAAAATAGTCTTTGTGCCCGAAGGTCATACTGAAAGTTTACCAACGTGATTATAAGTCTAAATTTCATTATTACTATAAAACATTAACCCGTAAACGGTCCAAGCAGATCTACATTCACATGCGTAGTGCTCCAAAAGTAGATCTACTTTTTTTTTACATATTTTCAAATATAACAAAAAAAAAAGTAGATCAAAGTTTTTTTACACGTTTTCAAATGTAAAAAAAAAAAAAAAATCTACTTTTTTTACATACTACCAAATGTTGAAAAAACGTATATATACGTTAGGACCGTTTACGGGTTAAGAATGATATACGTACGTACTACACAAAGCAAACAACATTCACAGGTTTTATATTCATAGATATCCTTGCAAATCTAGAATAAGTGAATAACTTTCTCATTTACATAAACGACTTACCAAATGCATCGCAACTACTCAAACCCACACTATTTGCAGATGACACTACATACATCTTTTCTCACCCAAGCCCAGTCATACTAGCCAATACTGTAAATACCGAATTACAGAAAATATCTACCTGGATGATGATTAACAAACTTGCTCTCAATATTGACAAAACCTACTACATTCAGTTTGGGAACAGAACTACAGAAGTTCCTTTTAACATAATGATAAATGGATCACCTATCACAAAGCTCACAGAGAGAAAATTCTTAGGAATCCATCTTGATAATAGACTCAAATTTCAAACACATATACAACAAATTTCCAAGAAAATCTCCAAGACCGTAGGCATACTATCAAAGATACGGTACTATGTTCCACAGTCAGCCCTCCCGGCCCTATATCACTCACTCATTTACCCTTATCTCATCTATGGAATTTGTGCATAGGGCTCAACAATAATAAATCATCTCAGATCATTAATTACCCAACAAAAGGCTGCAGTCAGAATGATAACAAATTCCCACTCCAGGCAGCATACTCCACCAATATTCAAAACTCTAAACTTACTCACCATACAAAACATCCATACTTATTATTGCGCCTACTACATACATAGAACACTAAACTCGGATATAAACCCTCCCCTTAAACTTCTCCTTACCAACCTCAAAGGAACACATGACCATAACACAAGGCACAGATCACTCTTTGATGTTCCCCGTGTCCATCTCACACTATGTAAAAACTAAATTTACATAAAAGGCCCAAAAATCTGGAATTCATTACCTGTGAATATAAAAGAAATACTGTCTGTTTATCAATTCAAGACTCTTCTTAAAAACCACTTACTCAACCACAACTAAATAAATACTGAATAACTGAATCTCATAAATGTATAACCTGTGACCCTATCAAACTATGTTTTTTTTTAATTACATTACCTAATAGAATACTCCATTCTCTTGAATGCAAAGTAACTCATCTAATGACCATATGACCTGTTTCTGAACTACAAATCATTGATTTTACTCGATCTGATTCGATTATATTATACATTGTTATGCTACAAATTTGTACAGCTTTAAAGCTTCTTATTTGAAATACTCATTTGTACTTCATGTTGTCCTAGGTAGTAGGTTGGTAGACAGCAACCGCCCAGGGAGTCACTACCGTCCTGCCAAGTGAGTGTAAAACAAAAGCCTGTAATTATTTTACATGATGGTAGGATTGCTGGTGTCCTTTTTTCTGTCTCATAAACATCCAAGATTTCAGGTACGTCTTGCTACTTCTACTTACACTTAGGTCACACTACACATACATGTACAAGCATATATATACACACACACCCCTCTGGGTCTTCTGCTATTTTTCTTTCTAGTTCTTGTTCTTGTTTATTTCCTCTTATCTCCATGGGGAAGTGGAACAGAATTCTTCCTCCATAAGCCATGCGTGTAGTAAGAGGCGATTAAAATGCCGGGAGCAAGGGGCTAGTAACCCCTTCTCCTGTATATATTAATAAATGTAAAAGGAGGAACTTTCGTTTTTCCTTTTGGGCCACCCTGCCTCGGTGGGGTACAGCCGGTGTGTTGAAAGAAAGAAAGACTTCATGTTGTAATTTGTTTACTGTAATTTTTACCACTGAATATATCATTGCTTAGTTAATCTTAAGTTAATTTTAAGCCTGCCCATAATGCTCTGCATACAAGAGTTTTTTGGCATGTACACCCAATCACTACATTTTTATAAATAAATAAATAGTGAATGAATTTTCTTCCCTGGCTTGGTGGGAAATGGCAAATGTGATAAAAAAATTATACAAGGGGAAATCAAATTTACATGTATAATTACATCTTATGTAAATACAACACCCAGAGAAAAAGGGGAGGCATTCAGGATCAATCCAAGGAAGGGGAGCACAGGTCCAATTCTCTAGATCAGGGGCCCCTGCATCAGCATCAAGAAGAATTCTTTGAACATCAAAATGGTATACAATACCGACAGGTTGTTAGGTAAGACACATGTGCAACAGTTAGACAACTTTATTCCGAAACGTTTCGCCTACACAGTAGGCTTCTTCAGTCGAATACAGAAAGTAGGCAGGAACAGTAGAGATGTGAAGACGATGTAATCAGTCCATCACCCTTAAAGTCGTAGAATTTGAGGTTGTCAGTCCCTCGGCCTGGAGAAGTTCAGTTCCATAGTCAGGAACTATCTGAAGATCGAGCGACAGTGCGGAGACTTAAATACTGTTGGAAGGAGAGGTGCAGGGTAGTAGTAGTAGTAGTAGTAGTAGTAGTGAGAGGCCACTGAGAGGTCATGTCCCTCTCAGATCCAACCCTTCTCACTTGAAAAGCTTGTCCAAGGTGTTTTCTGTACCAAGATGCCACGTGTTGCAGTGTCTGACAAGATGAACATCAAAATGGTATACAATACCGACAGGTTGTTAGGTAAGACACATGTGCAACAGTTAGACAACTTTATTCCGAAACGTTTCGCCTACACAGTAGGCTTCTTCAGTCGAATACAGAAAGTAGGCAGGAACAGTAGAGATGTGAAGACGATGTAATCAGTCCATCACCCTTAAAGTCGTAGAATTTGAGGTTGTCAGTCCCTCGGCCTGGAGAAGTTCAGTTCCATAGTCAGGAACTATCTGAAGATCGAGCGACAGTGCGGAGACTTAAATACTGTCGGAAGGAGAGGTGCAGGGTAGTAGTAGTAGTAGTAGTAGTGAGAGGCCACTGAGAGGTCATGTCCCTCTCAGATCCAACCCTTCTCACTTGAAAAGCTTGTCCAAGGTGTTTTCTGTACCAAGATGCCACATGTTGCAGTGTCTGACAAGATGAACATCAAAATGGTATACAATATTTAAGTATTTAAGTCTCCGCACTGTCGCTCGATCTTCAGATAGTTCCTGACTATGGAACTGAACTTCTCCAGGCCGAGGGACTGACAACCTCAAATTCTACGACTTTAAGGGTGATGGACTGATTACATCGTCTTCACATCTCTACTGTTCCTGCCTACTTTCTGTATTCGACTGAAGAAGCCTACTGTGTAGGCGAAACGTTTCGGAATAAAGTTGTCTAACTGTTGCACATGTGTCTTACCTAACAACCTGTCGGTATTGTATACCATTTTGATGTTCATCTTGTCAGACACTGCAACACGTGGCATCTTGGTACAGAAAACACCTTGGACAAGCTTTTCAAGTGAGAAGGGTTGGATCTGAGAGGGACATGACCTCTCAGTGGCCTCTCACTACTACTACTACTACTACTACTACTACCCTGCACCTCTCCTTCCGACAGTATTTAAGTCTCCGCACTGTCGCTCGATCTTCAGATAGTTCCTGACTATGGAACTGAACTTCTCCAGGCCGAGGGACTGACAACCTCAAATTCTACGACTTTAAGGGTGATGGACTGATTACATCGTCTTCACATCTCTACTGTTCCTGCCTACTTTCTGTATTCGACTGAAGAAGCCTACTGTGTAGGCGAAACGTTTCGGAATAAAGTTGTCTAACTGTTGCACATGTGTCTTACCTAACAAGAATTCCTTAAGAGGTGTAGAAAGCATGAGAATGTCTATTTACAGTGTAATACTGTATGATACTGTACACTTGTACTGGCTACCAGGTTAAGCTAACAGAGCATCTTAATTTCATTTTCCAATTACTTTGATATGTTATTTTACATAATTTAAACATGGCTATATGTATATGGAAGAAATAATGGAAGTTATATCTCAATGGGGAAGTAGAATAGAATTCTTGCTCCCTAAGCCATGTGTGTTGTAAGAGGTGACTAAAATGCTGGGAGCAAGGGGCTAGTAAGCCGTTCTCCTGTATACATTATTAAAGTTAAAAATAGGAACTTTTTTTTCTTTTTGCGCCACCCTGCTTCGGTGGGATATGGTCAATTTGTTGAGAGAAGAATTAAAGTTATAATATTGTGCTTTAAAGCCAGGATAATTCTAATTTTAATACTGTGTGGTTCTTTGTGGTGATTAGTAACAGTGACTGATGGCTCGCCCTCTCCACCGACATCTACCTAAGACAGAAGCAAACATTTCAATGATTCTAGTGAGTTTGGTGATTGATGGTATCAGGAAGCATGAATACATAGTCTAGGAAATTTAACATTTGAGGGTTATTTATTTGGCAACTATCAGGTAATTTTTATTAAGTTCATTGCTTATTATCATGTTCCTTATGTTGTCACTAAACCTCTGAATGTTTGTGTGGGGTATATACACAAATAACCTACACATACAAGACAACATTTCTGTCCATGTCATCACAAGTTTCGGTTTCCTGTATGTGGATTATTTGTGTATTGTTCCAGTCACAGTATTGCACTTTTTTATTCACTTTGTGTGGAGTATTCTGTAAATTGTACCAATTGTTATTGGATCAGTATTGTTGATATTAAACTGAGCAAATTTAAATTGGCCATATTGATAAGTTAATTGAGTACAAGTAAATCTATGCAAGTTATAAAACTTACTAAAAAGAAAATCTTCATAGAATTTGCAAAATTTGGGCTTAATTTTTCCTGAAGTCGTGATCACAGGTTATTTCAAACCTCCTACTGAGGATATCGTTATTTTAATTCCT